TCAAAAAACAACAAACATTTATTCAAAACGCGGTTTTTTTTCATGAAATTGTTGTCAAAATACGTTCCAGGTTTCATCTTCATTTCACGAGAGCAGCGACGCATTGTTGCGAAGAGGCGCTGCGGAACCGGTCGTGGCCGCGTTTTTGCGAAGAGGGGAGCACCCCCCCCTCCCCCCTAACAGCGTTAAATGTTCGATACCGTGAGCGTGACGACTACGTGGAGCCGCCGCCATCAGCAGCCACGAGGTGCGATCGTGGGAAGAGACAAATCTCAGTGCTGGAGGCCCCAGCTGACTGATCGCCTTACACCCCCTCTCTCTCCCCCCTTCGCTGATAACAATGTCGTGACTACGCCACTGGCCGGAGGTCATGGAGTTCAATGCCTACCCTGAGTCCTGCCCGCTGTGTGTGTCGAGTTTGCGTGTCTGTCTCTCTCTTTCTCCGTGAGTTCAATGTCTATCCTGATCTCTGTATATCTGAAATTTGCGTAGCTATCTCTCTCTCTCTCTCTTTCCCCGTGCTCGCGTGTTTTTTTTTTAAATCTCCGCGTCCTCCGGGTTTACCCCGCCACGTTGAGAAATCGGCGCCACGCGTTTCGAGCAGGAAGTCGGCAGCCTGCGGATCCGACGCCGCGTGCCCCGTGGCTCTTTGAGGCTTCAGCCACTCGCGGCTCTTTGGCTGCTACAGTCCTCCGAGCTGACGAAGGAGTCACCACGCCACTGACTTCAACACCGCCCCCAGCTCCCCTTTTCTTCACGGAACACCCGAGTTGCGTTATTCAAACCCACGTGTTTCTCATTTTGTGTTAATCCACGTGCGCACCAAGCCGGTCCCACGCTTTTCTACGCACTCATTGCATCGCGTTCCTCTCTGTACGCAAGCAAACAACAACGACATCAACAAAAACACCTAATCGGACATTCCCGTTTCGATGCGCCTACAGGGACTCCTCTACTTGCCAACTTTCGAGATACGAACAAAGCTGTCCGTATGTCCAGTTGCCTGTTCGAACCGAGTCGTAAGTTAAATGGATGACGGTGGTGCCATCTACATCTGCATGACGCGAAGAACCAGTGGCATCTATATCTACAGCAGATTATACACCTTTTAAAGCCATTCCCCGTGTTTAGTGTACATGCCACACAACGTGTTTGGAATCGACAGGAGTAGAGTTGGACTTACGAACAAATCGACTTACGAACAGACCTCTGCAATCTTCTTGGTTATTTCGGTAAAGTCACGTAGAAGGGAAATAATTAAAACATAAAAATAAAACATAATAAAATAATTTTCACGACGTTTCGGCCACAACGCAAGCAGCCGTCCTCGCTGCTTGCGTTGTGGCCGAAACGTCGTGAGAATGATTTTATTATGTTTTATTTTTATGTTTTTATTATTTCCCTTCTACGTGACTTTACCGAAAGAACCAAGAAGATGAATCCCTGCATCGAAATTTAGACCTCTGCAACTTGACTCGTCCGCAAGTTGAGGCGTCAATGTATATTCAAGTAAGTTTATTAAAATTTTTGTTTTATTTAACAAGACAGGGAAGACATTTGGGATGTCTCACAAAGCGCTGCATCGCCCTATCGTGCTAGAGAACGGAGCCACATAAGCGGATATCATAGAGCTAACTCCGAGTTCCTTTCACGTGACCCTCTGGGCCACACACAAACATACGCAGTATGGGGCAGCCCTATCCCCGGTCGCCCTGCCACTGAGAGCATCGTGTGACACTCAACTCGATATTGTTATTCACATTACGTGCTAAATAAAACGTCACTTAATGTTTGTGTGTGTGTGTGCAGATATGGGTGTGGGGAGCGGTGGTGTAGCGGTTAGCACGCTGAGCTACGAACCCGGCGACCCGAGTTCGATTCGGTCAACACAAGTGACGATTATATGAACCGGTCCTGGGCCTCCCCTAGGTCGACTCAGCCTAAAATGAGTACTACTATGCACTACACTATACACTACTATATACTACACTATACACTACACTATACACTACTATGCACTACACTATACACTACACTATACACTACACTATATACTACTATGCACTACACTATACACTACACTATACACTACACTACACACTAGTGCTGTACTGGTGACGAATTGGCCACGTTCTGTATACATGACAACCCCTACTAGGATCATAGCGCTGGATGGCACCAGGCTGTAAGTGCAGTGCCGGCCCTACAGGACAGGGTGTGTGGGTGCCGACCGAACGATGAGGTCGCGTGAGGCCATGGCAATCTGGTTGACCCGGGAGGACACGTGACTGGTTAAGTTGACAGAGGGGCCCCGAGAGGGGGCTAGTGGGGGGGGGGGGGTCACGTGATTGGGACCCAGATCCTTCCCGAGGATTCTGGAAGGTGGGCGTTGCCAAGGGCGGAGTCGGCCACGCCGCAGAGAATAGAAGCCGGGTCCCGAGACGGACCAGGGTTGTTCATCACGGTAAAGAAAACCGTCGTCTACGATTTCCATTCAACAAGATTTCCAGCACGTGGACCCGGGCAGATGTTGTAGTCCCGGGTCCGTAGTTACAGTTACGTGGTAACTAGTGTAGTTAGCCTGGTGGTCACTACCTTAGCTTATTATTCTGTTAAGGCGGAAGTTGCCCCGTGTGTTGGAACTGAATAAATGTGTTGCCTCCAAAGTCTACGTCTGCGACTCGTAACGAATTGATACGTTTTGTTACCGTGACAACCCATTACTAATTGGCTGTGTCGAGTGGTGGCGGGTTTAACGACACGTTTATCTTTCTGCGATCTCTATTTTGGACTGGCTCTGTCGTAAAGGTCTTAATTGTATGTACGGGTATTACACACACACACTTTGAATGCTGGAATCGTAAATGACAAATGCACGATGCGTGCTCCAGGAAGCTGTACGAAGTGTGATAAATTCAAATACAGGTGCCATAAATATTCCAATAAACCTGCGCCAGGTTACATGTCTCCGCTGTGTTTTCGCGTCATACCGCGTGCTGGATCGGCACAATGTCCGACGTTTCGATCCACGTGCTGGGAGCTTCTTTAGGAATTCAGTTCATAAATAGTTCAGTTCTTGAATAACTGAACTACAAACTTTTTAACTAAATATTTTTTTTATTACCAGGTAAGGCCCACGAAGTTGTATATCTATTTTTTTTTAGAAGCGACCTGCCAACAAATGAGAGCTCAACGAAATGGGCTTATCATCATCATGACGTGGCCATTTATAGCAGCAGACAAATACTTGAAACGCATGACCTCGATTCTAAACGTGGAGGGGAAAAACACGACCACGGGGGAGATAGAGAGAGAAAGACGCAGACTCTAAATATACAACATGCATCGTCAGGGTCGAGGATCGGACCCACGACCTCCTGCATACCAGGCGAGGTAGTTAACATCAGCGGACGCTGATATGACAGAGCTACAGTCTGTTTGATTATAATGCGGCGGTAGTTGCGTTCATGAAGAACACCGCGTGATGGAAAAATCGCGTTAAAATAAATAATATATAATATTATAATATATAATATTATTTATGCGTACGCAGGCTGAACAAAGATTTGAGGAGCATGGGGTAGCATCTAGAAACATCCAGCAGCATCCCCGCCTTGTGCGACGATGCTACGCCGAGGCAGCCGTACAAACCGGGGAATTCCTACTCGCAGCGACGTAGTTCCACTCACCAAATCACGTTATATCCAATGAGCATCCGCGTTATAAAGAAATGTGTTCCCTAAATGGGGCGACAAAGCCACAGCTCACCTCGGTTCCTCCACAATGGATTGTCGAAAGGTTCAGTACTCGCGCTGACGCTCTTCAATTCCTACACGAGCGACCTTGCCCTGGCAACACAAGCGGCCGCTTTTAGCAACATCGAATCCGCTTTGAATCAAGACCCTAAACACCATGGGGGGATCTTCTTGGTTCTTTCGGTAAAGTCACGTAGAAGGGAAATAATAAAATAATAAAAATAAAACATAATAAAATAATTCTCACGACGTTTCGGCCACAACGCAAGCAGCCATCGTGAGAATTGTGGCCGAAACGTCGTGAGAATTATCTTATTATGTTTTATTTTTATTATTTTATTATTTCCCTTCTACGTGACTTTACCGACAGAACCAAGAAGATGAATCCCTGCAGTCACGAAAGCTTTAAATCGAAACCATGGGGGGAATTCTTCAGGACATCTCATGTTCCCCAATACAATCATCGCGTTATATCCGACTCGCGTCATAGGAGAACAGAACTGCACGTTCTGAGATCCCTACGAGCGACCTCTGGTCCTACAAAGCAGGAGGCCATCACTTTGAAGCTTTCGTGACTGCAGGGATTCATCTTCTTGGTTCTTTCGGTAAAGTCACGTAGAAGGGAAATAATAAAATAAAACATAATAAAATAATTCTCTCGACGTTTCGGCCACAACGCAAGCAGCCGTCCTCAGGTGAAGACCAGGTCTGTCGGGGAGACAGCGTCTCATTCAGACCAAGAAGAGGAGGCCATCACTTTACCACCGCCCCCCCCACCCCCCGCTCTGCCGCAACGAGATGAATGCTCGTCACGTGACGGTCGAACCGCCATTTTGTTTATCGGAGCTGGAATTTAGTGTCAAATTAAGTGCAGAACCGTACATATCTATACATTTTATATATGTACGCGACGGTTTTATCGCGTGTGCCGTTTCCGGTGAGGTGATTAACTCAGTCACACCCGAGGAACACGGTTTTAATCACAGGTGGCTGAAGGATTCAGCCCGGCCCGGGATTTCAACCCTTGACCCCCAGACGATAGTGGCTCAACATTTTTGACCACCCAGTCCTAGACCCACCACCCCCCCTCCCCCGCCGAAACTCCATCTGCTTGAGCCATTAAGCCATAAAATGAATTGCGTTTGCCCAACGTTGCGAAACGTCCGCACGGCCGTCGGGGATTGGCCAGACGAGTGGTTATAAGACCCAACCTGTGAGCACATTCACTTAATCAAACCTCGTGAGGAGAACTTCTGCAGTCCGCTGGTCGGGCTGTGCAAGAGAATCATATTCGACTTGAACGAGAGCGAGCGAGCGTCTGTGCGTGCGTGTATTAGTGTGTGCGTGCGTGTACCCTTCGTCCTGAACATTTGATTTGCAGAATGGGTCCCAGCGGGCTGGCCTTCCTTCTGCTCGGGCTGATCTGCTCGTCATATCTAGCAGCGTCCGGTGAGTCTCAATACTTGCAACCATCCAACACGGCGACCTGCACGCACGCACGCACGCACGTACGTACTGATGTGCGTTGAACTTCTTTCGCACCGTGCGTAGCCAACCATGCTAATCAGCGGTGCGGGAGAAGGACAACAAACTAAACACAAAAAGCAGTTCGTAAGAAATTAGTTTTCAATCGAAGAAATTCGTTTACAACCAGCATCATTCGCTCTGCTCGCTTTTCAGCTTTCCTCCAGGTTATTTGCCGGTAAACAAAATCGAGTTGCACGTTTGTCCACTTTGACAACTTGATTGAATTGGCTCTGTCGGGCCGGTGGAGGGTTATAGTAAAACATCTGTATCATAACTACACGATGATCTAACCAAAGATAAACTAATTATGCATCCCAAAAGCATAGCGGAGTGTAAACGTTCAAATCAGTCGGCACATTTACCACCCCACGACGCGACATCTTGATTTGTTTGGCTGTTTTGGGTGGTGGAGTGGAGGGCTACAGTTAACAAGCGACATAATATACCGCGACACGATGATGGAGGCCAAAGTAAACCAATTGTGAATCACAAATATTGGTCTCGGAAGTCGAGGAGTTCCATTTGCACGTATGGGGTAAAGTCGTCGCGTAACGGGTGTTCACACAACGCGTTTCCGCTATAACGCGTTAATAATACACTAAACGCTCATACTCTTTTGAATGTTGCCATGTGAAAGGCCCACTGAGCTATGTAGCTATTTATCAGAAGCGGCCTGGTCATCACAAATGATAGCCCAACGAAGTGGCTTTTTAAATCCTTTATATTAAGTTCGCTTGCTTGCTTACGGCCGTGCAAATCTTTCGGTCGTTTTTTAACCCACTTCCCGTGATCCAATCGAGCTGACATTTTCCACACAGACTCGTTGTGCGTGATAATTAATGTTCGTGAAAAATTTTTTCCAAAATTTTACACTTTTTAGGACAAAAATATTATATTTAATTATCAATTGCTTAATGGTGCAATGCAATCATCTGACCCATAGGTGGCAGCCATCTCAAGCCAGAGGACGAGAGGACTCTAGCCGCCACGCATATAAAGGATTTATAGTGAAAAACTTTGTTTTTACGGGTTATACTTATTATCTTGTGGAAACGTATTGCAGCCAAATACTCGAAACGCTTGTTGATTCTAAACACGGAGTATAATAAAACATAAACGCGACCATAGGTAGAGAGAGAGAGAGAGACATGCAAACTCCAAATATACAGTAGGCATCAACATATCTGTCAACTTATACAGTTTACTTCGTATTCTTGAACAAGGACATTGAGTTTTCAGGTCCATACGACGCACGGCCAGTTTCAATACCCTTTATCAGTGCCCTACCCTGACCAGTGCCCTATCTTATTGCATACCAACTCAGACCTTATTGGTCACCCCGTGTCCCTTATAAATCTCAACGTTTATCCCACAAAGTCACCATCACAAGGGAAACACACAAACAAATGAACACAATTTTTTTCGTACCCGTTTTGAAACGGCTATAGGCTGTATGGACCTGAAAACTCAAGTTCCCTGTACAAGAATACGGGGTAAACCGTGTTGGGTTGATACGGTATATGGGGTTCGTTCCAACCGTATCGTTGTATCTTCAATGTGTGCGAATTAAGCTAGAAACAACAACAACAACCGCCATTCGCCACTAAGTGGCGGTGACGTTACCACGACGCTTGTGCCAGGCTAGAAACAATCACCCTCTTTCACTAGCTTCCACTATTCTCTGAAAATCCACTTATTTTTGAGTTTATCTTGCCACCACCCGTCCTCATACCTGTTGAGTGAACCCCTTATCAGTGCCCTTACCTTATAACAAACCAAACCACACTTTATTAGTCGCCTCATATAAATCTCAAAGTTCATCGTACAAAGTCACCATCACGAGGCAGACACACGAACAAACAGACACGTTTTGTGTGTGTGTGCCCGTATTGAAACCTCTGTACACCATAAGTGTGGCACATTAGGAACGGATTACTCTTTGAATGATATCCTTGTGCAGCAAGGGAGTAAAGGGTGGTTCTGTGCAAAGTCCTGATGTGCTGTGCAGTGCATCAATGCATGTGTGTACAGCAGCATGTGAGGACTTAGTTGGACCTGTAGGTGACTGGCAAGGTTATTGAATAACCGCACTTAGACACCAGTCACATGGTTAATTGGGACTCGGAAAAATTGCTGTGTGTGGCACACGTGCTGTTGCATTTTACAGATTAACCACAATACATGTGTTTGCCCTCGATTTGGAGCACCTGCCCAAAGTCCTTCATTTCGAGTGTGCAACATATGGACCTGAAAACTCAATTTTCCCCGTATGGGGTAATAAACCGTGATGGGCTGACTACTATGCAAGGCCGTAGCCATGGATTCAACATTGGGGGGGACCAAATCTTCCAGGGTATCTGGGGGGGGGGGGGGGGGTCCCAACCCAGAAAAATATCTAAATTTGAAAACTCCTGCCTAAAATATTTAAAAAATTCACTAACTTATGGGATGGACTTTTTTTTACAAGAATGTCTAATAGTGTATTGTATTTTTACATTGCTCTGTTTTTACTTTTTTACCATTTCACATTTCATTGTATGTAATGGCAGAGATTAGGGATTAATAATGTACAACCATAACCACAATCATATACACAGAAATCTATGCATTGATTTATATGAAGACAGGTCCAGATATTGTGCCCAATGTTTAGCAAATTGTGGTTCTTATTTACATTTGCATAGCAATTATATTTTTATAGCAATATATTGTGGGGGACATTTTAAATTATATTTTAATATTGGGGGGAGATGTCCCCCAAAATATAGAATTTAATTACAGCCTTTCAGCTATGGATTCTCAAGGGAGTGAAAAGATTAGTCAACGTTCGTTTTTCCCGCCTTTTTACTTGGCGCGTGCGGTCACGATGAATGTGTACAATAGTCGGTGTTTCCTCACGATAAATGTGTACAATAGTCGATCTTTCCTCACGATGAATGTGTACAATAGTCGGTGTTTCCTCACGATAAATGTGTACAATAGTCGATCTTTCCTCACGATGAATGTGTACAATAGTCGGTGTTTCCTCACGATAAATGTGTACAATAGTCGGTGTTTCCTCACGATAAATGTGTACAATAGTCGGTGTTTCCTCACGATAAATTCGTACAATAGTCGGTGTTTCCTCACGTTAGATGTGTACAATAGTCGGTGTTTCCTCACGATGAATGTGTACAATAGTCGGTGTTTCCTCACGATGAATGTGTACAATAGTCGGTGTTACCTCACGATAAATGTGTACAATAGTCGGTGTTTCCTCGCGATAAATGTGTACAATAGTCGGTGTTTCCTCACGATAAATTCGTACAATAGTCGGTGTTTCCTCACGATAAATGTGTACAATAGTCGGTGTTTCCTCACGATAAATGTGTACAATAGTCGGTGTTTTCTCACGATAAATTCGTACAATAGTCAGTGTTTCCTCACGATAAATGTGTACAATAGTCGGTGTTTCCTCACGATAAATTCGTACAATAGTCGGTGTTTCCTCACGATAAATGTGTACAATAGTCAGTGTTTCCTCACGATAAATGTGTACAATAGTCGGTGTTTCCTCACGATAAATTCGTACGATAGTCGGTGTTTCCTCACGATAAATTCGTACAATAGTCGGTGTTTCCTCACGATAAATTCGTACAATAGTCAGTGTTTCCTCACGTTAGATGTGTACAATAGTCGGTGTTTCCTCACGATGAATGTGTACAATAGTCGGTGTTTCCTCACGATAAATTCGTACAATAGTCAGTGTTTCCTCACGATAAATGTGTACAATAGTCGGTGTTTCCTCACGATAAATTCGTACAATAGTCGGTGTTTCCTCACGATAAATGTGTACAATAGTCAGTGTTTCCTCACGATAAATTCGTACAATAGTCAGTGTTTCCTCACGATAAATGTGTACAATAGTCGGTGTTTCCTCACGATAAATTCGTACAATAGTCGGTGTTTCCTCACGTTAGATGTGTACAATAGTCGGTGTTTCCTCACGATAAATGTGTACAATAGTCGGTGTTTCCTCACGATAAATGTGTACAATAGTCGGTGTTTCCTCACGATGAATGTGTACAATAGTCGGTGTTTCCTCACGAGAAATGTGTACAATAGTCGATCTTTCCTCACTAGAAATTCGTACAATTGTCGATCTTTCCTCACGAAAAATGTGTAAATTTTTTATCTTTCCTCACGATAAATGCGTACAATCCTCGGTCTTTCCACACTAGAAATGCGTTAAATCTTTAACTTTCCTCACGAGAAATTCGTACAATCGTTGATCTTTCCGCACGAAGCACTTCCCCGAAGGCCGTAGTTGCCATTGGGTTGTATAGAAATAACAAAAAAATATAAAATATATTTCGGCACCACGGTGGCTATGAGATGTTAACTACCTCGCCTGGTCTACAGGAGGTCATAGGTTCGATCTCTACCCTGATGCCTGCTGTTTATTTATAGTTTTCATGTCTCTCATCATCATCACGGTGGTTAGGAGATGTTAACTACCTCGCCTGGTTTACAGGAGGTCATAGGTTCGATCTCTACCCTGACGCCTGCTGTGTATTTGGAGTTTTCACGTCTCTCATCATCATCATCAGGGTGGCTATGAGATGTTAACTCTCTCGCCTGGTCTACAGGATGTTGTAGGTTCGATCTCTACCATGATGCCTGCTGTATATTTGGAGTTTTCACGTCTCTCATCATCATCACGGTGGCTAGGAGATGTTAACTACCTCGCCTGGTATACAGGATGTCGTGGTTTCGATCTCTACCCTGACGCCTGCTGCTGTATATTTGGAGTTTGCGTGTCTCTCTCTCTCATCATCATCATCAGGGTGGCTAGGAGATGTTAACTACCTCGCCTGGTGTACAGGATGTTGTAGGTTCGATCTCTACCCTGACGCCTGCTGTGTATTTGGAGTTTTCATGTCTTTCTCATCATCATCATGGTGGCTATGAGATGTTAACTACCTCGCCTGGTCTACAGGATGTCGTGGTTTCGATCTCTACCCTGATGTCTGCTGCTGTATATTTGGGGTTTGCGTATCTCTCTCATCATCATCACGATGATAAGCCACTTCCTTGAGCTAGTTTTAGTGACCAGGTCGTTCATGAGAAAGAGCTATAACGGCTAAATGATCCTTACCTAATAAAAAAAAGAAGGCTTATAGCTTAGTTTTATATATTTTACGTGGTAAATGATTACTACGTGTTCTATCGTGAATGTTCCTCAATCTCAAATCCGTGACCAATTGTTTTAAGAATCAATAGGGACCCAAGGCCACAATAAACACCAGTTAGAAATAAATACTTGGTCTTGAATGACCTCGTTTGTCTACCATTCGCATCATGTCTGGTGCCACCCCCCCCTCACTCAAGTAAACATCTCAACGTGAGGAAAACTTACTCTTTGGTTCTTTCGGTAAAGTCACGTAGTTAGAAATGAAATCAAACAAATCACGACGTTTCGATCGCAACCCTCTCTCACTACTGTCCGCTCTGGCTTGAATGAAATAACGTTCTGATTGATGGATTGATCATGTGACTTTACTTTTATAATTTCGTGGTTGTAATACATTTTGTAATCTTTGCAATTCTCTCCACAGAAACGAACGGTGAATCTCTCATATACTCAAATTCAAGAAATGGCACATCTAATCCAAATACAACAACGCCTAATGGAACCATAGCGCCTACCGGTCCATCTAACGAAACATTGCCGCCTCCCGTTTCATCTAACGGAACTATAGCACCTACCGGTCCATCTAACGGAACATTGCCACCTCCCGTTTCATCTAACGGAACATTGCCGCCTCCCGTTCTATCTAACGGAACATTGCCACCTCCCGTTCCATCTAACGGAACATTGCCACCTCCCGTTCCATCTAACGGAACAATAGCACCTACCGTGCCATCTAACGGAACCATAGCGCCTACCGTTCCATCTAACGGAACATTGCCACCTACTGTTCCATCTAACGGAACATCACCACCTACCGTGCCATCTAACGGAACATCGCTACCTACCGTTCCATCTAATGGAACATCGCCACCTACCGTGCCATCTAACGGAACATTGCCACCTACCGTGCCATCTAATGGAACTATAGCGCCTACTGTTCCATCTAACGGAACATTGCCACCTACTGTTCCATCTAACGGAACAGCGCCACCTACTGTTCCATCTAACGGAACAGCGCCACCTACCGTTCCATCTAACGGAACAGCGCCACCTACCGTTCCATCTAACGGAACAGCGCCACCTACCGTTCCATCTAACGGAACAGCGCCACCTACCGTTCCATCTAACGGAACATCGCCACCTACCGTTCCATCTAACGGAACAGCGCCACCTACCGTTCCATCTAACGGAACAGCGCCACCTACTGTTCCATCTAACGGAACCGCGGCACACCTACCGTTCCATCTAACGGAACAGCGCCACCTACCGTTCCATCTAACGGAACAGCGCCACCTACCGTTCCATCTAACGGAACAGCGCCACCTACCGTTCCATCTAACGAACAGCGCCACCTACCGTTCCATCTAACGGACAATCGCCACCTACCGTTCCATCTAACGGAACCATAGCTCCTACCGTTCCATCTAACGGAACATCGCCACCTACCGTTCCATCTAACGGAACCATAGCTCCTACCGTTCCATCTAACGGAACAACAACGCCTACTGTCCCATCTAACGGACAACAAACGCCTACTGTCCCATCTAACGGAACAAACACCGACTACAAAACCAACCACAAGTACAGCCCCTCAACTGTGACTGGTGAGTGTATCGAACCAAACTGCGTGTTGCCATGTGGCTGTGACGTCACATGGGAAAGCGGTGGTGTAGCTGCGCTACGGATCCGGCGGGAAATAATAAAAATACATTATTTAAATAAAAAAAGACAGAAATTTATATTTTTTATTATTTTATTATTTCCCTTCTACGTGACTTTACCGAAAGAACCAAGAAGATGAATTGGGCAGATGGTTACGCTCACGGTCTCGATCATTTAACGCTGTTGGGGCGTGGGGGGGGGGGGGGGGTTCAACTCTTAGCTTTGGCCACCAAGGCATCCCCTGCCTGTCCCACGCTCGTTACACTCCTGGTGCTACTCAAGTTTGGCTACTGTAGGCGGTACCAATGTCTTTCTCTGGCCCGTGGACCAATCGGGAAACGTGTGCTTTAGTTTTACTTAAATGCCGAAAGTGAAATTTTAAATTAACTTGCGGTGCATCATTGCAACACCTTAGCGCGTGTAAATCACATCGTTGCATATTCCGTTCGATTTTTTATTAGCTTAAGAAAGCGGATGGTGTAAATGACAACACGCCATTGTCAACAACAAAGACAAAGATCCCCCGTATAGCCTTAACAGACTGTTGGGGCAAGTGCTGTTAGCGCGCACCTAACAATTCCCAAAAAGTTAGTTTTCAACTTTGTTTATCGAGTATACCCATGTCGAGGTATTGCTGTAGTTTTACTAAAAACGATTAGCTTGCTTTACAAACATAAGCATCTAAGTTCCAGCCGATGTTTCTGCTCAGAATGAGCCCTTACAGCGGATGTGTGTGCGCGCGATGGAAAATACTGCAATGGAGTGGCCGTGACTGTTCTGACTCACCCGTCCACCTAACTACTCACTAACTAACCCACCCATCCACTCACCCACTCATTTACTAACTCACCCACTCACCCACTCACCCACTCATTCAGTAACTCGCCCACCTATCCACTCATCCACTCATTCACTAACCCACCCACCTATCCAGTCACCCAATCATTCACTAACTAACCCACCTATTCACTCACCCACTCATTCACTAACTTACCCACCTATCCACTCACCCACTCATTCACTAACCCACCCACCTATCCACTCATTCACTAACTCACCCACCTATCCACTCACCCACTCATTCACTAACCCACCCACCTATCCACTCATTCACTAACTCACCCACCTATCCACTCACCCACTCATTCACTAACCCACCCACCTATCCACTCATTCACTAACTCACCCACCTATCCACTCACTCATTCACTAACCCACCCACCTATCCACTCATTCACTAACCCACCCACCTATCCACTCACCCACACATTCACTAACCCACCCACCTATCCACTCATTCACTAACTCACCCACCTATCCACTCACTCATTCACTAACCCACCCACCTATCCACTCATTCACTAACCCACCCACCTATCCACTCATTCACTAACCCACCCACCTATCCACTCATTCACTAACCCACCCACCTATCCACTCATTCACTAACCCACCCACCTATCCACTCATTCACTAACCCACCCACCTATCCACTCACCCACACATTCACTAACCCACCCACCTATCCATTAATTTACTAAACCACCCACCTATCCACTCATTCACTAACCCACCCACCTATCCACTCACCCACTCGTTCACTAACCCACCCACCTGTCCATTAATTCACTAACCCACCCACCTATCCACTCATTCACCAACCCACCTATCCACTCACCCACTCTCGTTCACTAACTCACCCGCCCACGGAACGCACCCTCGTAGGGTGGTTTAAAAACGTTTGCTGTTTAGTTTGTTGTCCTTCACCCGCAACCCGATTAGCACTGGCGGCTACGTACGGCGCGAAAGAAATTCAACGCACGTACGCACAATAACCCGCAGACAATGCGAACGAGATGCGACAAACCACGTTTCTCACGACGCGTCACGATGTTGCTCCTTGTTTCCCACACGTTCAGATGTCGACGAATGCGCCCTGCCAACGACTTGTCCAGCCCTGGCAAAGTGCATCAACACCGTGGGCTCGTACCGCTGCGAGTGTCCAATCGGCTACTTCTTGAAAGAAGATGAAAACAGCTGCAATCTGGGTAAGAACTTTGCCCTCCATCCTGTCGTACCCATTGCACTCCGGCATGCAACGCCATTGCCGTCATCATCATCGTCGTCATCATCATCATCATCATCGCCGTCGTTCAGCATCGGTAGCCGCAGTGGCGGCTCCTGCAAAATCTCACAGGGGGGGCAATGTCTGGATGATTGATAAGGATAAGGTCCACCCATGCAATGGATAAATTAACAGCTTAAGCATGTAAAGGCAACTTCACTTCTTTAATATTAATGAAAAATAAAGTGACTCTTACAATACATCTTGTTTGTTTCTATACTCACTATTAATACAATCCACTCAAGTTTCTTTTATTAAAGATTCCACTAGGTGGCGACAAATTATATTGTTGGATGAAACGTGCTTACGTATGATGACGTAAGCACGTTAGGGCGAGCCCTCCCGGAAGCCATAGAGAATGCATTGCAGCGCCCGCCGTTCGAAAAAAAACATCTTTGAATGTAAGTCTATGGGGCCACTCGGGGCGATTCTCAGCCGGAGTGAAATCGCCCAAAAAGAGGCGGTACTCCACAGAACGTGACATGACGCTGATTGGACTATATCCAGAGGCACAG